TCTTATTCGTACTCCTGTTTCTAGTACGATGACAACTACTGTCACTCTTCGTACTAGCATTACTAGTATTACTAAAACTACCAATTCCTATTCTGGTTGCTACCGCTATTACTATTGTAGCAAGTCTTACTATTATCATGTTATTATTAGTATTCTTATTTTTATCATTATTGCAAATGTTATTCTGGTTCTTAGTACTACTAGTATTATTAATTCGTGTTGTTTCCAGTATTCAGATTCTTATAATGTATTACCCGGTGGTAGTGACAGTGGTAGTGGTAGTGGCAGTGGCAGTGGTAGTGGCAGTGGCAGTGGTCGTGGTCGTGGTCGTGGTCGTGTCCTGGTCGTGGTAGTGGTGGTGGTGGTGGTGGTGGTAGTGGTGGTACTGGTAAGGGTAGGATTATGGGGGTAGGGGTAGGGTTGGGGAAGGGGTAGGGGCAGGTCGGGGTTGGAGTAGGGGTAGGGGGTAGTAGGGGTAGGGGAGTCGGGGTGGGAGTGGCCAGTGGCTAGTGGTAGTTGTTAGTGTCTAGTTGCTAGTTGCTGGTTGCGAGTGGCTAGTGGCTCGTGGCTAGTGGCTAGTGGCTGCCCTAATGCCTAGTGCCTAGTGGCTAGTGGCTAGTGGCTGGTGGTTTGTGTCGTAGCAGTAGCAGTAGTACTAGTGGGACTAGCAGTACCAGTAGTACTAACAGTACCAGTAGTACTTGCAGTACCAGTAGTACTAGTAGTACTCGTAGTACTAGTAGTACTAGTAGTACTAGTAGTACTAGTAGTAGCAATTGTTGTTGTTGTTGTTGTTAATTATCTTTGTTTGTAATACTTTCACGATAAATGATGACCATCTTCATGATGATCATGATGGTTTGTGCTGCTTCTATCATTCGTGTTATTCTGGATACTATTATTCTAATTCTAAATATGAAAATTACTGCTACAGCATTTACTACTGCTGACCGTATTGTTAACTCACGTTAGATACTGTGATTATCATACCTTAACCATTGTTGTTATCACTACATCCGAGGCCGCTGCCTCGTCCACGTCAAGCGCCTGCAGACATGGGAGGGTGGGGCGAGGCAGGAGCTCAAATCGTTGCCTCGATGCCTCGATGCCTGGGACGAAGCCGAAGAAAATCGGTGTCGGGTTTGGGGCTTCAAGAAAACCTTCTGCTCTCTTGCCTGAGGAATCCAAACCCGAAACTGGTGGAGAGAGAGCATCAGCGAGCCTCTTCTTCCATACCTTACAAAGTGCAAGCATGCCACAATGAAACCGATCTCAACCCCCTCACGCTCCCTTCCTCTCGCCTTCCCCCTTTCCTCTCTGCTCTCCTCTGCTACCGTGCAGCCCCCACACCTGCCTCGCACTCCCGTCCAAACCAGTTCCGCTGCAAATAAGATACGGTACACAGTCACAGAAACACACACTCTCTGCGTTGTTCGTCTCCTTTGCTTTGTTTGCTTGCAGTTCAGGTTCTCTTTATGTTTGCCGTTACATCTATTTTTCAGCCGGGTTGCAATGTACACGGCTTTTCCGCTTAGGTCTTACACTAGCCCATAGTCGATCTGTTCATTCACGACATACTGCATCCCTTAATACTTGTTGTCATCAGTGCTGCACTACCGGTACACACTGTGTGAACTGCACCGGTGTCGTATGCGTTGTTCCTCTGAACTAGTTTGTTTACGCTCGCGTCCCTCAAAGCGTTTTTTACCTGGCACATCTGCTCGGTCTGTATGCTATTTTTGTGTTCTTAGTATAACCTGTTTGTATGCATTGCCGCTGCCACCTCATTTGTTGCCTGGAGGACTCACACTTCTTTGGTTATATGCACATATGTATGTATATACACAATGAAACACTACAAGCTGCATATAAAGGTATATGTATACTCTTACGCTGTTATCTTGTTCATTTGCCCAGCATAAGCTAAAAGACAGCATACAGGAGAGCCACAGAGCTTGCCTGTTTGCTTGCTGCAAGACACAAACCAAACACATGTCAGAATACTAGGCATATCCGCATTCACATGAACATGTGCGGCACGAGATATACCTGTGTAACTCTACAGTCCACAGCATATACCTACAAGTACCTGCACCTACCGGGTACGTTTGCGGAGATACTGAGGCACACGCTGGTCTTGGGCCGGGCTCATGCTGTGCGCCCGTCGGTGGCCCATCACAGCGCAGCCCGGGTTAGGACTTAGGAGTGCTTGGTTTGGAAAGATCTGGGACTGTGGCTGACTGCCGGGTCGAAACCCGTCGGGAGCTTGGCAGCGTCTACATGTATGAGTGCAGACGCTGAGGCAAGGAGAAGCGGTAACAAGGGGATCTGGAAACTTCGGGCTTGGAGGCCTCGACCTGAATCTACAAGGGCTACAAGATGCTGGGCATGGACGAGCCAAGAGCCTCAGCGCAAGAAGCCTTACGAGTTCGTCGGCCATGCTTCTCGTCTTGAAACCACTTCTCATATCTACACCATCACCCTCCGTTCCCGACGGCAACATTGGCAAGAGAACACGATGAAGCTTTGGCTGAACGTGCATCTATCTGCATCCAAAGCCGTCTACCGCGGCTGGGGAGCCGCACTACGGCCTTCAGTCGAGCTGGATCTCGGCAAAGGTGGCACCCGAGAGGATGGCCTTGGCCTTCTTCACGGAGTCCATCTCCTCACTGCGCGCTGCTTGTCGGGCTTCGAAGTTCTGCATCAAAAAGTCGCAGCTCTCGTGGAGTCCGGCCTTGGTGTTCGCCAAGTTTTCGAGGGCATCCTCTGCTCCCTCCCGGCCCTGGCGCGTCTGAACCAGGGTCTTCTCCAGGCGGGCCTTCTCGGCCTTTTTGTCTGAGATGGCTGCCTCCTTCTTCTCCACGGATGCGGTGGTATCGGCGGAAAAGGCCTCGTAGGCCTTCTGCGCGCTCTTCTCCGCACGAAGGGACTCCGCTTCCATGGCTTTGGAGTCGGCGATGAGCTTCTGCAGCATGGAGAGGACGCCGAAGCTTTTCTCGTTCGCCTTGTAATCCTTGAATCCGTTTGGGGACTCGGGCCCTGCACGAGCATGGACCGCATGGAGCTGGATCATTGCTTCCTTCTTGTAGAACTTCCCAAGCACGTCCAAAGCATCCTGGAGCAGCTTCTGGGTCTTTCGCTGATCTTCCACCAGCTGCTGGAATTCCTCGTTCTCCTTCTCGCGGTTCTGGCCTGCCAACTTCAGCTGCTTCTGCATCTCAGCCACCTCGCCTGCCAGCGTCTCCATCTCGCTCTGCGGCTTCTTCACGTCGATGGCCTGCTCCTTGGCGAGGAGGGAGGTCTTCAGCCGTGTCTTGTCTGCGGTCTCAACCTCATTCTCTTGGAACTCCTGAACGCAGAAGTCCTTCTGCTTCACCTCATCTTCCTGCTCCTTCGTCAGGGTGAAGACCATGTCGTCCATGGCCTTCTTCACCTGAACAACGTCAACAGGGGAGGGGCGGGAAGGGCCTTGAAGGAGTGTGGACACCAGCAGCACCGGTAGCCGCTACTGTAGCCGCTAGACTAGACGTTAAAACGTCCGAAGCTGTCCGCTGCCTTCGTGAACTTGTCGATCTTTGTCTGCATGGCCAGCGCGGCCAAGCGCGGGTCGCTATGCGCTGCCTCGGCGAGCACCCGGGCAGCGGAGGCGGCCTTCGCCTTCCCTTCGGGCTCCGACTTCGCGGAGTGCTGGAGGAAGGAGAAAGTTTTCTTGAAGTTGGCGTGGGCGTCCTCGGCGTCCAGGATCTCAATGGCCTTGGAGATACCCTCGGCCTCCTCCGCACGGATCTTCTGGCGCTCGTCCCACTCGGCGTCCATCTCGGCACACTGCTTCTTCACATCGTCCACGAAGGACAAGTCGGCACCCATCAGCGCCTCGGTGTCCTTGATCGCCCGCTTCTTCTGGGCATGCTCTTCGTTGGCATCCGCGCGCTCCCCCTTCCTTGGTCGAGCTACTCCAAGAATCTCCAAGATGATAGAACATGAATACGACTACGGAGTGACGAGAAAAGCTCTCTCCCGCTCTCTGCTGCTCTCCATCTCTCTCTGTCTCTGTCTCGGCCGGGCTTCTTTGCCTCCACCTGCGCCGTGCCAGCCTTGATCTCGGCGACCTTGGCAGCAGAGAGCTCCGTGAATTGCGCAAGCGAGGTCTCCTCGTCCTGCTTGAGGGTTACCAGCTCTTGCGAGAAGTCGTCCACCAGCCCATCCAGGACACCCTTGACGCCGTCAAAGCCGTCACCTCGCTGCAGGAAGGACTTCAGCGTCTCTCGGTCATCCCTGCTCAGCTTGGCGAAGTGATCCTTCATCAGCTGCTGCAGCACCGGCCGCACCACACCGGACTTTGACTGAAGGAAAGCACCCGCTTCGGGGCTGCTGATGGCGGACTGGGCACTCCTGGCTCACGTGAATGCTTGCACGATGCCCACACTGGCAGCGTCACAACGCCGAAAAACATGTTAAAGAAAAACCTCACGAAAAAAGAAACTGCTTAAACTATGAGCTGGGCTCTTGACGCCGGAAAGGTCACCTTCAAGGCGCTCACGATCGTCCAAGTACTCCTTGTTCTGCTGTTTCCGCAACTCTGTGGCAGTGTCGAGGGCCGCTTCGTTCTTGGCCACCTCGTCCTCCGCCTTCTCGATCTCTCCCTTGAGTCGCTCGCTTTGGGCGGCGAGCTCTTCAACACGTGCCTTCAGCTCGCGAGCCGTGGTCTCTGCCTCTGCAGCGGCCTTGGTCTTGGCATCCGTGTTCTCGTGACACCAACACTTGAACTTGTCATACGTCTCCTCGTCAGCTTTGCCTTCGCTTTCCACGGTCTCCTGACAATGCTCCAGCACTCAACATGCGCCTTACATGTCAGCTGAATGATTTTGCAGTCTGCACCCCACCTGCATGGTTTTAAGCAGCTTTACAACCTTTGTCGTTGGTCGCTCTGCATCGTCGGACTGCAAGGTGATGGCCGCAGCTAGCCCCAGCCATGCCAGACAAAGCAGTCCAACCTTCATTGCGCTCGGAACGGTAGCCCGAAGCTTGTAAGTAAAGCTTGGGCCGAAAAGAATGATTTCAACTACACTTGGATTATGACGAACCTGATTGTCATACCTTGCAAAACACCGGATGAATCAATCGATAATTTGCTGGGCTTCAAAAAACCGCAAATTGACACCTTGCAAATGGCGCTTGCATTTCGCAGGAAAAACGAGCATATGGTGGTAAGAAAACATGTAAACGTGCGACTTCAATCGCATGGCCTCGGTGTGGTGCTGGTGTAAGCTGAATCTCGGATTCAACAATGACGGTCGATTGTTTAAATTTGTGATGGACGTTGCACCCATACCAAGCAATCGCCCTAATATGCCTCTGGCCAACAAACATCAAAAATATGCACCGAATCGACAAATATGCAAATATGAACCTGACCAATCACATGCGTGCATACACTGTGCCATCTTGACGTTGATTTTCAAAACGCCACACGATTGCCCATTCCTCGCCTGAGTTTGTCAAGCGAATGTGCGCAAAGCTTTTGCTTCTTTCTCCGAAGCTTTCATACATAATATTCTCACCAAACCTTGAGTTAAACTGTAAAACCCTGAGCGGTCACGCTTTTACTCTTGAACCAAAGGCGCTGCGTCGGTCACATAGTATACAGCTATACAATACTATACCGTAGCCTGGGCTCACCAAAGGTGTGGGGCGTTCCTATGTACAGAATTCAACACCCTGCCTCGAAGTCCTTGTGCTGTACTTCGATCGGTCATCGGTCGGGCATACCTCCGCCCGTGACTGCATCGGCTTAGCCATTGCAAGTCCTTGGGTTAAACATTCCGTGCAACCCACCTTTTGACCGTCCCCCAATTAAGGAGGTGTGTCAGACCGTCCTTGTCCTGACTCGTACAGTAACAAGTACTTCGTCCTAGTGAAACATTCCACACAAACTTCCTGCGTTAGCGCTCTTCCTTCTTTTGCGCTTTCGCTGCTGTGCGTTCCGAGGTGAAACTTTTTCAGTCTTGCCTACACTCACTTCTCTGCCTCATACTCGTACACGATGTAGGACTTACTGACTTCCGAACAACGTTCTCTGTTCCGTGCTGTCCGGTGTACCTGGATCTACATCCATTGGCTTCGGACTCCCAAACAGGTCCATCGGGATATCCGATCCTTGTGCGCGTTCTCCTGACGCGTCATACGTCTCATTGCATTGTTCGCAATACTTCTCATACGATTCCTGTGCTTCTGGGGATAGCATCTTGTTCCCCATCTCTTCCACGGTGATCATCCTTCCGCGGTACTCGATCATCTCCGGCTCTTTCTTCTTTTCCGGTTCTTCCTGGGCTTCCGGTGAAACAATTCTTCCCAGGGCTTCCATTCCACGAACGAAGTTCTCATCGCTTATCTCCACATCCTGCTTGTTTCTTCCAGATGTGACTCTTCCACCACGTCGGTAGTCTTCCTCACTTATGATGGGCATACGCACACCATCTGTGTGTACGATTGCTGGTGTTCCCATCGCTGGTCTTCCACGTCTCTTCAAAGATCCTTTTCCATTGCCACTCTTTTGTCCAGCATTCCATGCATGCTTTCCGTCATCCGTTACACGGGTCTCTTCCTTTTCCGTGGCATCACAAGATCCTTCCGCTACTGCTCTGTCATAACTTTTCCTCCATTGCATATGTCTTGATGCATTCCGTGCAAGAACATTTCTGGTGGTTTACCTTCTCCCTTGTACACTTCCGTACTCCGCACCAGTAGCACTTCTTTGTGCATCCGCCAGTTGACTCTACCTCGAAGTCAAGCTCCATTACTTCCCAGTCGCTTTCGTCTGGGGTTGGCGGCTCTGTGCGCTCTCGGCGTCTTCTCGAACTTCCTTCTGGCTTCGTCTCTGGGAAACAAATCCAACATGCCCTAAAGCCATCTTGCTCGGCTTCTTGTACGTCCTTCCAGACCCACCGGCCTGGCTTCTTGTGAGACCCTTGAACATGCCAGCAAGTAGCACGGTGATATACACGTGCCCGGCTTCCCGTACTGATCTTCACGCGTCCAATACCTCGCAGGTTTTCCAAAACTCTTCCAAGCTTTGTCCATACAGAGATAGCATACGGCACTGCGAGCAAAAATACGCATACCATCATTCCAACTTCAAACTTCGTGAAGTTTCCGTCCATGGCGTTCATACCTTTTTCCAAGGCTCCACAGGTCCCTACTTGGGCGTCAGATACTTCCTCCTTGAGCACTACTGCGGTAATCGGCTTCATCAAATGAAATACCTGTATGGCTCTAATGAGACTCTTGATTTGTCCACTTCCGACATACTCCTTCAGTTTCTTCTCTTGTTCATGTTTTTCATACTCTTTCTCTCCAGTATACTCCAAGTTTCCTTCTTCATCATACTCTACTTGAGACAAGTGATACAGTAGGAATGACCTTCGGGCATATGACAACTTCTTGGTGTTCAGATCCGCTACATTGAGCGCGGTTCGCACTGTACCAAGTTTTACAAGATTGTCTCGCACCCAATCTTGCAGTTGACACAGCCTAACGTCCACATGCTTCAGACGTCCAACTCCTCGTCGTTGACTCCACTGTCGTGCAGATGATGAATCGCACCGTATCTCCACGCGCGCAGGCGCGTTTACCAGGAACTCAAATAGCCTTCCGACTAGGATTGCTTCTCCACAAGTTCCACTTAGTGCATACAACTCTGCTTCACAGCTTGATGATGATGTGGCCTTCTGAGTCCTAGAAAATGATAACACTTGTACTCCGTTCAGTACAATGATTCCTGATGATGTACTCTTCCTTCGGGCTCTATCCGGGGTCTTCAGGCTTGCCCAATCACTGTCCGAATACGCTTCCACCACATGTCCTGCGTCCTTGGCAATTTCTTCGTCTTCATGGCCATTCAACTTCGTGATCAACCGGCTTCCGATTTCGGTATACGGTAACAGAGTAGCCCTTGTGGCTGTTCCACTCAAATACAAAATCAAGTGCTTCAGACACTTTAGTGCCTGCATCGTCGGCTTCGACATACTTGATGCCAAACACTTTGAGGCATACTGAATGTCAATTCTGTCCTGTGCAAGGTACAAAATCGATCCGAGTCCAGATCTAAACCGTTTTGTCTCTTCAGCACTCAACTCCTTGGTCCGGTCTTCCTTCACCAGATCAACATGCTCTGGTGTGGCCTTACTCTTTAACTTTCCAAGGTCATACAACTCAATGAGCTTCCGAACATACTTCTCATTCGGTTGGACAACAATTCCTTCTCGGGTGAAGACATACTTCCTTTTGAGATATCGCATCTCTTCTCCACTTCCTACTCCATTCGCTGGGTACGGTCCTTCTTTCTCCACCTTGAATACCTTCTCCAGTTCTTCTACCAACCAAATGGTTTCCTCCTTTTCTCCTGCTAGTAGCTCATCGTCTACATGGATAGACATACACAGCTTCCTTGTGGTGTGTCTAGCTAATGCGGGTACATGTACTGAGAACACGAATCCAAGTTTCTCAAGTATACTCCGCAAATGTTCATACCACCTTGTTGCTGCGTTTCTTTGACCAGGTAGGCATCTCTTGAGCCTCCACACTATTCCTTCTTTCAGGTTCGCGGCTCGCTTCATCCAATCACTAATTGTGATTAGCACCTCTTCTTGCTGCGGGACCTGAAGGTACGCGTCCTTTATATCAAGTACAACTACGACCCAGTTATACACCAGGTGTAACAACAAGACTAGGCGCGACGCGGCGTTGCTTGCCGTTGGGCTGAATGTCTCAGCTGTGCTGCTCGCACCTGCCCTGTACTCCCTGGCCACTATGCGGCACCTCCTTTTCCAACGTCCGTCACGATGCCTCCAGTCGTAGACTTCACGCAAATCCATACGCTTTTCATCACCTGTTGCATTCGCCTCCATGAATTCCTCGATTACTCCTAGCTTGCTAAGGCGATTCAATTCCTCCACGGCTGCTTCCTGATCCAAGGCATCCAGTTCCTCTGGACTTAGTTCGGGTGGTGTTTCTCCTTGGTCATTCTTTGGAACTTCTTCCATCTCTTCTTCCATGAGATCTTCATACTCCACGTCTTCTCCTTCTACTGCCGTGAGACCCTCATGTTCATCCCAATGAAAGGGGTCATCTTCCTGAGATACCCTGCCTGCGAACAAAGGCGGGTAGATTCCTCTTGAAGGCGATGATGGTGCTGATGGCATTTCTCGTGACTTTTTCGGCGATCCTTCGACTTCCTGTCCTCCTTCTACAGCTCTCTTCCGGAGGTCTTCTAGCATAGTATCGTCACTGACACGTCCTTCTGGTTCTCCAGGTGGTGCGTCCTGCATTGAACTTGAACTCCGGGAATGAGAACTAGATCCCGTACTGGTCATGCCTCCATTTGAGGCCCTGCCTCCGCTTGAGGCCCTGCCTCCACTTGAGGCTCCACTGGTGTCCAGCAGATCTAACAGCTCCTCGACCTGTTCCTCTTGGGACTGTCCTCGATCTTCCGCACGAACTACGGGTTCCTGTGCTGTTCCTTCTTCCTCTGCGATACTTGCCAATGCTGGGGCTGGTAACGGCTGTCTGGTATACGTTCCTTTTGGCTTCTTGGGGTTCGATGGAGTTACACTCAGCTTCAGTACTGGTTCCTTTCTCCATCCAGTGGCGATTCGCCTTACAGATCCTGTTGCCAAGATTCCGTCTTCAACTCCTACCAAGTGCATATCCTGAGAGTTCTTACCAAGGTAGATTCCTCCAATCCAATTCGCTGTTCCTTTCTTCTCGGGTTTCTTCAGCGCATACACATACTCTCCGAATGGGGCAATCTTCCCAAGGTAAGGTCTACCAACGACACTTTCGTAAGGGGTTGACCCTATCGCGGCGTGTCTGTGGTACCTGTTCAGCAACCATGACGCATGGCACAATCCCCAGGCCCACACTGCATGGCCTTCGGGAATCTCTATACCAAGCTTTCTTTCGGCTGCTCGTACCAAGCAAACTGTTTGGTTCCTCACCGTCT